TCTCTCCCCCCTTCTTCTCTCTGAAATCAATAAAGATATATTAAAAAAAGAATACTAGATTTTGAATACAAAACTAAATTAAAGGTTTTACCTTAGAATGACAAAAAAAGAGAAAAAAAATCACAACAAATTATTGGAGCCTTGGATATTCTTACCTTTCTTCTGAGAACTCTTGGGCAAAAAAATGTTTCTTGACAGATACAAATGACAGATAAAATAGTAGATCCAAAATTTGTTTTCCAAAGAGAAGACCTGTTCCTAGAATTTTTTTTAGTAGCTCTAAGGGTTGCTGTTTTGTTTGAGATGAATAGCAGCCCTGCTCAGGACTAAAGTAGGGAAAAGGAGGTTGGGCATCAATCTATTGGTTTACGTAAAATTTGGTCCTGCTAAAGTAGGAAACAGAATAATAGCATTTGCAAATCTGCAGCAAAGTCAGTTCCTCTTTTACGCAACACTTCCGAGAAAGATTGATCACTTCTTCCTTTCCTTGTGTTCCCTTCCCAAATCACTTTTTCTCCATCTGAAGTACCTTATGTTTCTTAGGCAAACAAAACAACTTAAAAAAAAGAACCAACTTTTCTTCCCTGGCCATAACTTTAGTTTAAAGGGAGAGGGGATGATGAAGCAACATAGTAAATGAAGCTTTCCTACTATAATCCTCAAAACAAAGACACCCTGTAGCTAATAGGACCAATAGAAGCCCTCCCTCCCCCCTCACTTGTCTCAAAACAAGACTATGCCTAAGACATCCTCTCCCAGACGAAAGTTTCAGTCCCTCCCCCCAAAAAAACCTCTAAGGGAAAAAAAAAAAAGTTCTTTATTTCCCTCAGGTATTTCCCTAGCATTTCCCAAGGTTGTAGAAATGTGCTATTAAACCTAGAAGAATCGTTGGAATTATTCTGGTAAAAAGTTCACCAGGAAGGCAATATGGGTAGTTATTTACCTTTTGAGAGAATGACATTCAAGGCTGGCTGTCTGTACAGCAGTCTCCTCCTACTCAAGTGCGTCTCTTGGCAGCCCCTCCTCTTCGGTGAACCCCCTTACAGAAGGAGAGTGTCTAGTAGCTTTCTCCCTTCACCACTCCCCCAGAGAAGCTTCATGAACAGTTCAACCAAAACAGGATCAAGTTTCAGACACTCCCACAGTGAGTGAGAAAATGATCCCACGAGATTAAATTGGAGCCTAGATCAGTGGAAGAATATTTCCACAACTCTGCCAGGGCTGGGGCAGCCAAGGTTAATAGCTCCACTGATACCTTCTAAGTAGGATCACATGAGTGGTAGAAGATGGGTTAGTAGCCAGCTTTCTGGTCTACTCAGTGGTTCTCTGGATTGGTAGTATCACCTGGAAAATTGTTAGAGCTGCAGTTCTTGGACCCCCATGTCAACCTTAACCAATCAGAAACTTTGGATGTGTTGGCATCAGTGTTTTAACCAATTCCTCCGGGTGACCGTGATGTATGCTCAAGTTTGAGAACTACTTGTCAACGAGATCAGTGAAGCTCTAAAATTTCTCCTGTTCCTCAAAAAGAATTTACTTAGGACATTTGGATCAGAAAAGTCAAAACTAAAGTAACTAAAGTCATTTAGCTTTAGTTATTATACATGTTCATATATACCTTGAATGCAAAATTTACTACTGTTTCCTCTAAGGTTTTTTTTGGTTCGTTTAAAAAACCTCTATAGGGCCCTGGCCAGTGTGGTTCAGTTGTTTGGACGTCGCCCTGTGCACCAAAAGGTTGCAGGTTCGATTCCTGGTCATGGTGCATGCCCAGGTTTTGGGCTTGATCGCCTGTGGGGCGTGTGCAGGAGGCAGCCAGCCAATTGATGTTTGTTTCTCACATCAGTGTTTCTCCCTCTCCCTTCCCCTCTTTTCTTAAAAAACAAACTTCTACAGGATCTATGTGTGCACGTGCTCATAAATACACAGGATATTTCTGGAGGGGCACACTCCAGGGCTTCAAGATGAGAAACTGGGTGACTTGTATTGTACCATGTGCATATTATCTACTCATAATTTCTCTTTTCAAGTAGATAAATTTTCAAAATATCACACTTTAAAAAAGTAACACTCCTGAAACACGTGCTATATTTAATAAATATTTACTGAATGTCTATTGTGTGTCAATAGAAAAAAATCATGTCATTTACAACTATAAGTCATAAGTTCAGGTCACTAAAAATAATGAATATATTGCTTAGCTATGCCATTCGACAAGCTTACTTGAAAAAGTAATTTTTAAGTATTATCTTTATAGTTGAGAAGGGATTTTTACTCTATCCCTTATTAAAAAACTTGTGAGAGCATCTTCCTTATTACTGGCCTCCATACTTCACTGTGGAAAAAGTAGTCTTCTAACATTTGCTTATTTCTTCTCAAAGATTATGCAAACTATTTATAGTTTGTACTATTTTGTTCTATGTTGAGTTGGAATCAGGAAAAACATTGTTTGACTACCAGCTGTTCTCTGAATAAAACAGAATGTGGGCTGGCATTTTATTTAATGTAGAAATAATGTGCTTTCTACAGCCAAAGCTACAACTCCATCAGTTTTGATCCCAAGATACCTTTTTCAGATTTTCTCTTACCTCACAAGATAATTATTTTTAAATGATTTTTTTCCAAATGAAAATGTCTTCTTCTGTAACTTGAAGTTTCAAATGATAAACCAAATAGGAAGTTTCTGGGCATTTTTTCTTATGCACTGCATATATGCTCTGAATGATTCATAGTGTGTACACTAGTGGTGTCCACATGTAAGTACATCTGTTAGCAAGTACAGCGCTGAGATTGCCTTTTCATGTTGTATACCATGATTATTTGTGTGATATTTAATTAGGGATTTTTGCCAATAGCTTGTTATACTTTCTTTAAGCAAAACATTTGTTACTAACTTTGTAACTATTTGTACAAGCATCTCTGAAACAAAATGATTTTCACCAATTGTTTTAAATGAGGGATGTAACTTCGATCTTTTTTATCCACAAATTCATCCATTTCATATTGGAAAACATTATTTTGCATTTACTCTGGAAGAGTACGAGGTTATTGTATGTGATTTAAAAATGACTTGAAAGCTTTGATAGCTTTCCAAGTAACTGAAAAAATTTCCTAACAGTCAAAGGGTAGTGGGTAAGAGACAAAAGAATTGCTGGCCCTATAAAATCCAATTTTTAGGTATTCATAGTTGTACTTCCTATTTACATTTCATTTATTTTTTTGCTGCTTAGATGAACTTCCACATTTAAAGACACATCATAATTCACATTCTATATCTGCACTGCAGTCTTGTTTAATAGTTAGCTATCTTTACTACATAACTTTGAATTGAAATACTTTTACTCCCCCCCCTCCCACTTCCATGTGCTTCTGAGTGGATGATTTTTCTCTTTTTGGTGAATTGGAAATATAACACAACACAACGGTAACAAAGAAAATTTTATTTTTAGCAAATGTAAACAATAATAAACAAATGATGTTAAAATACCTCTGCTGAGACAAACTGTACAGTTAACTAAAAGAGAAATGAATCAATGTAATCTTTGTGGTATACATACAACCTATAAAGATGCAAAGATGCTCAATAGCATAATGGGATTTGTTAAAATCCTAATTAACTGTACATTAAACATGTGAGAAGATAGGACCTCTTAGTGTTAAAACAGGGGGATGGGTGGGGCATGTTCCCAGAGTCCCACTCCTTTGGTGACCCTCCCACACCAGTACTTACCAGCTGCGTTCCTCTTGCTTACCCGCTTTGCTTCTGCAAAATGGAAATAATACAGTAATAGAATCGACCTTCTATTGTGAGGATTAAGTGAGTAAATACATATAAAGCAGTTTTAGACAGTGTCTGGCCCCAAGTGTTCAATGCTTCCTATTATTAGAAAATAAATCTGTGCAGTATTCATCTTATCACTTCCCTACCAAAAACCCGTCACTATATCCCTTTCTTTGACCGAAGGAAGTTAACCCACTCCATCAAAATACCTTCTTGCCTTATGTTTTTGACTGTCGGTATCTCCCTTACTAGACTGTAAGCGCCCAGATCCTCTTGCACTACCAGTGCCATAGCAGACATTCAAGAATTACTGAACTTTTTTCACCAGGGACAAAGGTCCTTAAAAGAGGAAAAACTGTAGAAAGTATTACAAATCATCATGTGACGTTTAAGCATTAAAGTACCTAAAGAGGATTTTACAAAATCAGTCATCTGCCGAGTGTCCTACCGGGCGAATCCACCACCAAGCAAAGCTTTTTAGCAAAATTGTTTTTCACTGACGTCTCTCATCGCTGACCTCTGACGCCCAGGAGGTGGGATTAGCGAGACAGCTGACTTCTTCCTCGCCCTCCCTCCTCCACTGGACCGGCTGGTTCAGTGGCCA